GGCTCGCGGAATAGGAAATAAACGAAATTGCCAGCCTCGAAACTGCCCACGAAATGCGGATTATTCAACCAGTTGTTGTTGTATTGTTGAGTACGTACAATATGTCGATAGCCAAACTGATTGAAAGCAAGATACAAAAAATAAAAATATTATTATGCATTCATCAGAGCGTGGCGGCAACATCTCCGACAACTTACGATTTTCTTTGGCTGCACCTCGGTGCGCAAAATCGCCCCATCGCCACCTGAGAAGTCGGTCGCTGTGCCCACAAACATCTTGTCAGTGCTGGACATTAGACTCGTTATGCTTGAATGCGGATTGAAGGGACACTTTCCCACACCATTATCATAGGCCACAATAGTAAGGTTCTCCATCTGTACAAGCACAAACAAAGCATTGGTAATGAAGCGTGAAAAAAGTCAAGACAAGTAAAGAGATTACGAAATGCAATGAATTATTGATTGCCTAGCGAATTAAGCAAATACAGCTAATCCAGCAAACCACTAACAATCAAGCACAGGCGAGCAACGAAACAACCAATCGACAAGTCAACTACGCAACAAACGAAACAACTAGTAATCCCACCAGCTTACATGCAACTTGCAACTTGCTAATATTTGCTGCTAATGTTTATTGCACTAGCTGTTCATTTTATTTGCTGTTTCGATTTGTTTTCAGTTTTTTTTTTTGGTGGACTTATGCCAACGCTTGATGACTGGTTGCATTGATTGTTGTTGATTGTAGTTAGTTTGTGTTTAGTTATTTTTTTAATTTTTCGTTTTTCTTAAGACATGTGTCTGAGTACCAACCTGGCGCCATGAACATTGCGGCTGAAAGGCGTTCGTCCCACACGCGTACAACTGATTCTCACCATAGCTCTGCAGTACGCGCACATAGTTGCGACACAAACGCTCCGACTGGCCTTTTACCTGACAAATGCCGATCTGTTCGGGCGGTGCAGCCCAAATGGCACGTTCCAGTGGCTCCAAATCGAAGGACATGCGATAAATTGAGTCGCTGTAAGTATGACAATAAAAAAGACGAAAATAATTGGTTATTTTTGGATTTCATGCGAATGGTTAAAAAAGTGTGTGGTTGCTAAATAAAAAAAATATATACATATATTACAAACGAAATACATATGTATGTACATACATACATACAATTTAAGAAAATTTATTGCTTATATAAATGCTTGAGGGATTTATGCGTTTTAAGAGTGGTTGTGAACGCTTTTGGGCACTTTTAATTTTACTTATTTTAATTTTAATCAGGTGTTGAATGGACAAGTTTATAAACGAGCGCAAACATATGCCATGCTTGTGGGAAAGTAGAACACTTGCGAATACGTTACTGACATCACACAACAAACAGCAAATCGGTTTGAATCTACGTTGCTGTGTGCAGTTTTCCCTAAGATATAAGCTTTACTTTAGTGCTGTCTACTCATAGGCTTCGAATTGGGCTGTATATTTCTCCAGTTTTTTTTTTCTTTACCTACGTCAAGGCAATATATTTGACGTCTATTTTGAATGTCTTGATTGTTGAGCTGCTCGGCAAGACAAGCGCTGCAAACTCAAAATGAAAACGGTCATTGTCAGGCTATTAGTCGATGTGTTGGGCAGGACTCCTATGAGTATTCCAGACAATACTCTTCAGTAGAGTGAAAAATAATATTGATCTCCTTGTAAAGCTTCTTCAGTTCGTTTTATGTTCAAGGGGGCCTAAAGCTTATGAACATGTGTAATTTAAGCCTCACCCTCACGTGAGGATTTCAGACAGTAATTTTGATTTTATCGACAACTATTCATAAACGCACATAAAGTTTGTCGCTTAGAGCTCCATACAATTTTTAACCTCAGATACGTATGCGTGTATAAAAAACACGCCTAATATGTTAAGTGGCGGCCGCTGTGGTGTAGTGGTAAGCAGTGCGCGCTTTCACTCATCAACACCTGGGTTCAAGCCCTGCTCAAAGCAACATCGCAAAAAATATAGAAAAAGGTTTTTTCTTAGCAGCGGTCGTCCCTCGGCAGGCAAAGGCAAACCTCCGAGTGTATTTCTGCCATGAAAAACAGCTTCTCATAAAAATACAATCGCCGTTCGGAGTCGGCGTAAAACTGTAGGTCCCTCCACTTTGTGTGACAACATCAAGGCGCACGCCACAAGTCGGAGCAGAGGCTCGGCCAAACACTAACATATGTGTAAGCGCCAATCTAAAAAAAAAAATAACAAAAATTTGCTTCAGCTTTGGCTGAAAGGTAAATAAAAGCTCAGTGTACATTTTTAGCGCATAATATCAAAAATGCCAAATTTGGAGTTGTAACTCTTTTGAAGACGGTGTGCGATACGTACATAGATTACTAAAAGAGTAGCAGATCCGCATTAACTCCAATCAACATATGTACGTATGCTTGTACATATGTACATTTTTCGCGATTAGGCTATATATATAATATTTCCCCGGAGCTGCGCCATCTGTTACTCAAAAGCCGAAGTACACACATATACTTCTTGTCTTCTTCTCTCACTTCCATCGTATGCACGTGTTTGCATAATGATGACGAATTGTTTTGTATGGAAAATCATTGGTGCCCGTATAGTTGAATCAAATAAACATACCTACAAGATTTCAAATAATATTTCCATATATCAAACGAAAGCAAAAAAATTTAATTTTTTAGTAAAGAAAACAAACAAAATCATTCGACGGGTGTTTGAGCATTTTGCTAATAATAAAAAATTTGCAAATTTTTCCAACAATTTTTAACCTTAAAATGCTCAATTTTTGTCGAATTTATATAAAACTTATATAAAATTTTTACAAGATTATTTATATATTATATTATATTATATTATGTATCATTATATTATATTATATTGCATATATTAATTTATATTATGTATACATTTATATATTATATTATTATACTATATTATTTATATATACCTTGCTATAAGCACCTACCACAGATACGTCTCCATACCAAATTTCAAGTTCATGTGACTTGTGGTTTTGAAGTTATAGCTGAGAAAATTTCCACGCCTATGGGATGTGCCACGCCCCCTTTTACAAACCCATTTATATATACCTTAGTATAAGCACCTACCATAGAGACGTCTGCATACCAAATTTCAATTTCATGTCACTTGTCGAATCCCAATTTTTTTCTTCCCACTATAAGCCCAGGTGTGATAGCAATACTCTGCCAAGATTTCATTCGATTCTGTCCATCCGTTTAGGCTGCAACGTGGCATATGTATATACATACTTACTTCTATAAATATATAGTAGAAGATATCGAGCCCTAACCGCCAAAATAACGTAAGCGACATTTTTTTCAAAATTTTCTTTTTGATGCAGAAATGCATCTAAATGCTCTAGGAATATTTCTGCATCAAAAAGAAAATTTTGAAAAAACTGTCGCTTACGTTATTTTGGCGGTTAGGGCTCGATATATCATTATCCCAGTATATAAGAATTCTAGGAATATCTCGTCCACAATGCCACCTATCGTGTACATTTTTAGTCCCAATATTTACTTTCAATTGGCTAAATTGTGTTCTAAATATGAGCCAGATCGGCAAGAAAATGCAGTTTTTAGGAATATCCCGACCGCCAGCGATGAAATATTTCCCTTCAAGGTGCTGACATATGTTCCAAATATAAACGAAATCGGTCCAGCCGTTTAGTAGTTTAGTGACATTCAATATACGAAAAACTCTATGAAATTGTGAAATCGCCACGTCTCAGCATTCTTCATTTTTCGACAACTTTAGGGATTTTATCTTTGAAACGCCACACTTTTCTTTAAACTCGCTTCATTAGTTCTCGTGCACTTTGTGAAGCTCTAAAAATTACAACTGCAACATTTGAGCATAGCCTCCATATCGAAACGTAAGACGCATTCTTCGTCGAAAACTGTAATTTGCAGTTAAAACTGTGAGTCTGGCAACATAGCGTATACACGTTTATTTTTCAGAATCTTTTTTAACAGTTTTTTATTCTCCTGTTCCCTGAAACCTTGCAGCTGACAGCAGTTTCCCTTTTTATCTTTAAACCTCATACAATCTCTAAACTATTGTTCACAACACACGAAATGTGTAGGCTCGATTTGAATCAAATGCTAACAAATTACAATTTAAGCGTAGTTAAAATAAAATTAATACATTTCAACTTATATTAACGCCATCAAGGTTGCACTCAAATATTTTTAGCATTTAAAATTTCAATGCCATAACTCTTAGCGTTACGCAGTTCGTTTGGCATGAAGGTGGGTGGAACCAAGTCAAATGTAAGTTTCAAACGCTTGCGACCATGGCGTTTATATATACGATGTAGGTGAAAAACTTAAACAAACTAATCCTTTTGTTTCAAATTTACATACCCAGAGGAGGGCGCGTAGAAAATGTATTAAGTGATAAACTACAAAGGCTTAAAAACATTAAACGGCAAGTCAACAGCTCTTAACCCAAAATTTAAATAAGCAAAACTATGTACATACACCTGAGAAATGTATTTGCGCAGGCGTCAACAAGTGTGTCGCGCGCCACCACTATCTCAGTCGGCGAAATATGCAGAAAAAAGATAACTTGCCAGAACGATTATGAAAATATTCAACGACCAACTGCCTCACTTTTAGTTTGTGCCACACATTTTTAATAACCCAAAATTAAGTAGTTTTTCGATGAAAAATAAATAAATACGGTTACGAAAATATGCAAATTGCCAAATGAGAAAAAAACCGAACCGAACAAGTTTTCGACACTGCAAATAGCAATTGCCGAATGGCACGTTGATTGTACGACGTACTGACTCTGACAGTCTGTCTAACTGACTTCAACACTAACTACTTGACCAACATGCAGCCTGACTTTCTGCACCTGCTCCACCGTCCCCATCCCAGTCTGTTTGTAAGTCGGTGCTGGCTGCTGCCGTTTAATTACGAATGCGAATGCAAAATTTATGCGTGAGAGTGCGCACACGCTTGCAACCTGCAATGCGAACAGCGACGACAACAATGCCATCAACAGCTGCTTTGTTGCTTGTTAAGCTGCCTGCAAACGCCATCAAATCGGCCAAATCGACGACGGTCAGGCAGCCAACAAATACCGCTCGCGGCGGTAGTGAATCGTACAACAAATGGCGGTTCCCCACTTGGCACGCGGTTGCTTGAAATGCGGCGGCTGAAGTGACAGCGGAGAACGCAGCCAAATAGCAGCAGCTTTGGGCAAACTATCAAACTGCTTGCGCAACAAAAACCGTTTGCACCTACAGCAGCAGTGCTGGTATTTCGCAGCAGCGGTAGTAAAAGAACGTCGCCATCGAGGCGCTAGGCAACCGCCCACACGTGGCGGCCAAAGAGCGGACCACTTCAGATCACGAAAAAAAAGTCGAATTTGCAGCGTGAAATGTATTGCTGGCGTCTAGAAGTCGGATTGAATGCTTTTAAACTACATAGATATACTCTTGTTGGATTTGTATAAGGCTGTAGTTGTTTTTGTTTCTATAGCAGGCTGTTGTTGTAGTCTTGGGTTTTTCATATGCAAGTTGCAACTTATAGGCAATGCACTTTGCGATTGAGTAAAATTTCTATGAGTTTTTTGCGGTTAGTTGGCTTTTGCGCATGCGCCTGAACCGTTGTAGCCGCATGTTTGGCATATGTCGTAAACAGGCGATAAAATATCATGAGTGACAATTTTGGTTTGCAAGGTGCGCGGAAAATACACAAGTCAACTTTGAAGCAGAAGTCGAATAGGCATGTGAATGCAACAACGTGAAAATATACAGAATAATAAGGAATAAACATAGAGGATTTAGAAGTAATATTCGAACCCAATTTGTAGCAAATATTTAAAGGGCATCTAAATATGATTATACAAAATATTCTCTTTAATTCACAGGTACTACACCAATGCATATTTACAATCTAGAATGTCTGTTTATAGGTTTTTAAATATTTTATAGTCGATTGTTGGAAACTGAATGCAAAATAGTTATAACTATTTATGTCATCATCCTACCCTATAAAATCGTGCGACAGTAAATTCTACACACAAAAGTCCTTAGTATTTGTGCGTAGAGGGCCAAGGGAAGGCAACATTTTTCTGGAAAAAAGAAAATGCCATAATTCTACAGAATTTTCTTACTCATATTTTTATTTTACATTGCACTGAATTTTTTCAATGATTTTTTTAATTAAACATAAATTTTGAAATTTGGAAGTCCTTTTAAAAAAATCCTGACGTCAAAGAGAAAAACCGAAAATGCAGTTTCACTATATCTGGCCCATAATTCTGTGAGCATATTAATTTTTTCGTATGCTTTGAAATTTTTCGGTTGTTTGTAGCACGGTGTTATCAGGACAGTCTGAAACATAACATTACGTCTAAAAGGCTTTTCTAAATTTTGAAGATCGATCCAATGTTTTTTGGGCTTCGAACCGAAGCATTATATGATTTATTAAATTTCAACATTTGAACCGAACCGAACCATATTTCAGAGGTATTTTCGAGTTGGTTCTTTCACCGGTACACATTTTTAGACGTGGTCTTTAATGAGGTCATCTACCATTGTGGCATTTAATCTTTTTTAACCACAATGTACCAAAAATCTCTTAAATTTATTTGATGGCGCGGAAGCAAACTGAGCTAAAGTTAAGAAAAGCTATAAACTTAGAATTTTAAAATTACCCTCAAATTCTGAACATTTTACCAAAAAATCGTTGTTTCATAGAGTAAAATAAATACTAGCAAGTAAGTTTTTTTCTACTTATCCGACAACGAAGATTTATAAGTCAGTGAAAATGCGACATTCGGCTGTATAAAATAATATATAAATTGTTAATACACATCAAGCTAATACTGTCTGATGAATAAGGCAAAATATCATGAAATGTTGGAATTATTCTTCAATATTCACTTATAAACAGATCCAAATACTTATTTTGTTTAACAGCGTAAAAATTCAGTATGCTCGATAAAGAAGTTAAAGAGATTTAAAAAATGTGTAGCGCACTAGAAGGAGATTCAAATACGTCTTAAACTGAGGTACTCTGTACCCTAGCTAACAAAATTAATTGTTCAAAACTTGGTCATAGATGAGATATTACTTAATGAAAAATATCAAATCTAGCTAATAGCTTGCATATTTATTTTGATTGTGAGTTTTGCATTCTGTGAACACCGCATTTTTTCACAGTTACGGAATCCAGGCCCTGGTCGGTATATAAAACTATCGTATCGGATTAACAGCAAAGGTGTTACAGTATTGGGAATGTGAAATTCCTGAATATGCAATTTTTCGGCTTGACATAACTGTAACTGTCACACAGTGTAATTTAGAGGCGGTGGCGTATGAGCAACTTCCATCCTCTACAGATTTCTGAGTAAGAGGCTCATATTGCCCAAATTTTGAGCATTTATTTAGCATGGCTTCATATAGTTTAATAAAAAAAAATCTTTGAACTAAAAGCTTCAATTGTTAAAAGCAACCAAACGAAGAAAAAAAAAGATTTTTCATTTATTTTAGCCCCCACTATTGAGGAAATTTGAAAAAATGCCTAAAGGTATGCAACCATTTGTTTTTTGAAATCAAGTACAAACCACACACTCCTACGTACACATGCTAATCACTTCTATAGAAATTATGAAAGAAAATGTGAACTTATTAGATTTATGTGACGTAATTTGATCACAACAAAGTAAGTTATGAATATACATAGTTTTAAACGAAATATTTTAAAATGGGTATAAAGGGAGAGAGGCTTTACGAAAGCTGTATCTATTCGAAAATTTGTTTACGAGGCTTGCCACGAACTTAAGAAGATCAATTTAAATGACAAGTCAAACGAAATTTTACAAATGTTATAAATGTGAAAGTTTGTGAGATAGCTTATGACCTGGAAGCATTTGTGTGACAACATCAAGGCGCACGCTACAAATGTATTATTATTATATATTTTTGAGGGGGTTGCCATTTGCATGAACAGTAAAATTCTATTTCAAATTATAAGCTCAAAAAAATTTCACAATATGAATGCGAAAGGACACTGAAACGGCCAATTGAGTTGAATTTAGACACATTGGCCATATTCTGGAACATAGAGGATATAAGCAACTTTTAAAATTTTGTATTTTTGGTGATATAATTTGTATATTTTTGTTACATAACGTTAAGCCGAATTTCACGCAGGCGGAACTGCGGGCAAAAGCTAGTAATTTATAAAATTAAAAGCACTCTTATTGCCTGCACAAAAAACTATAGCATTAACTCAAGTGTATCGTTTAAATATGTTGTTGGTGTCTACAGATAATTACTGCACCGAACGCCTCACCAGCGGCTATTATCATACCAAAAGCTAACTAATTGGATCAGCCCATCAACTACATATACTGGAGTAGGTTACAATAATAACAGCAAAAGCAAGTGCGCGTATGTAGAAGAAATAAAATAATAACAAAATAAGAAAAGATAAAATATTAGTTTGCGTTATACATATGTATACATTTATGATAATAGAAAAAAACATAACTTAGTAACAACAATATTAAATCGAAATAAAACTACAATGCGCTTAAAATTTTTCGTTGCAACAACAATTGAAATGCAGCAAGTAAAACAATGCTGCCGCAGAAACAAAAACGATAACAAGTGAACAACATATTTCTGTTGCTCGATGGGGTCGCCATGCGCCAGCAAACCACCAGCGCTTTGATATGCCGCCAATACAGAGCGCTAAGCTTCAGCTTAATATCGTTATTATTGTTTTATGTTGTTGCTATAACTCTTTATATACAAAAGAACTTACATACATGTTTACATACATATGTATGTATGTGCATAGCTACATACATACATATTTATACGTAGCACATAATTGTATTATTTGTTATTGGAATTTATTCGTTTTTTTTCTCATACTCAGTTTACGACTTTTTTCTAATTATTTATCACACATTTTGATTTTATTTATAAGTCACTTTTTTGTTTCTGTCACCACCACCGCTAGCGCCGTAACTGCTACGGCTTGGCTACAACGTCGATTATGTCCACTGCTGAATGCTTGACAACTACTATGGAAGTTTTATTGTTACTGTTTTTGGTAAAATTGGTCAATTGCTGCAATAGTTAATTTCATTGTTGTACCAGTTGTACTTGTCGGCATGTGGCGCACGCGCAAACCAATCCACATCCACGGACATTTGGACAATGTAAATCGATCACTTTTTGAGCGCTCACTCGATCGTTGGATGTAAAGCCGATGGACGCGTTTTTTTTTCTTACCTGTTGAGTGGTGGCTACATTTTATTTATCAGTTAATTTTTTTACCAATTTATTATCTATTGCCCTAATTATAAACATATAAACCACGAATCAGGTATTTCAAACATGATTGTTGTAATAAATGAAGGGCCGTTTTCACCATCTCTGGTTAACACTTATCCCCAGTTAAACATCGTTGCCGACGTTACTGACTCCATGTATGTAATATTGTGTCGAAAACGTCGGTAACGATGTTTAACTGGGGATAGTGTTAACCAGAGATGGTGAAAATGGCCCTAAGATTATTAGTGAAAGAAAAAACTCTAAATTAGTTACTCATGAGTACTAAATTGTTAAATAACATATTTTTCGAATTAGACAAAGAAGTTGCTAAGTTCATTTTAACAAATTTTACAGGAGAGAAAAAAAAATCGCATAGCCATTTTCTTCAAGAATTTAGCAAATTTTTTAAAACCACATTTCGCGTGTTTAAAGCAAAACAAAACTCCATGCGAAACAGTATCGATCTTTATTAAATAATATTTCGTATTATTTTGGTCTTATCGAATTTTCGTTGCATCGTTTGGACTTAGCAAATTTGCCTCTAATTGAATATAAACGTTAATACTTTTCGAAACGATGAATTTGTAATTTCTCTTGCTTTCTCTATCAAAATATGAGTTTTCATAAGAAGTGGACTTAGCCATTTTACACTCTTAGCTAGCGATTTAGCGTTGTTAATAACTTTACAAACAAATCTTAAGTTAACTTGCAAGTCTGTATTTCAAACATTAGATATATATTATCAGTCGCACAGCTACCTAACCAGCATCTCTACAAGTAAACACTAATTGGGTATCTATTCTAAT